TGTGATCGTCCGACTATGCCGGACTCTTATACTTTGTTGCAAAACCTACTAATACATTGATCTCTACAAACTTTCATTAGCAGTGGAAAAGGGTTTTTGTTAATAAAAATGCTTGGTAATTAGAACTATTTTTGTTGCGAAATGTGCTAATGATGAGCAAAAAAGTTCTATATCTGTTTTTTTTCATTACCGCAATCCAAATTCTGTACATATACTCCACTTAGCGCTTCCTACGTGGCTCCACAACGTATTCTTCTCACAGTGCCACTTATGTTGTTCTCTTCTTTAGCAACATAGCACTGTTACCTAGACTTGATGCATTAGAACGCTAGCCCCACACGAATCAAAATAGGAGGCTACCTAGAAATGAAGAGCCTTTCCCCGAAGAAAAAAAAGTTGATGCCGTTTTTAGACCTATTCTAAATCGTTCAAAATGAAGATAGACAAATCTTTCATTTTTGACTTCTGAGGGTGCTCTAATAACCACCTAATAAGGCGAACCTTTTTTCAGTTAATGCAATTTTTGCATTCTTTCAGCTTCCTCACCAGAATTTTGTGAATATCATATTAGAGTATTCAATTCTTAAAAAGTCGCGTGACATGTAATTGCACCAAAAGCTGTGAAATCCTCAAAACATCAAATTTCTTAAACTCGGTTATTACTATCACTAGTATTACGAAGTAAATGAGCGACTAAGGCGTGAAAATGGATCGATTTTGGAATTTCGACTGTAACTTTGCGCACCCGTGAAATTGGGAAGCACAGCGACTTTGTCTGCAATAGTCGCATGTTTCGCGAAGAAAAGTTAGGTGTTACAAAGAGGAGATATAGATGCATCGAATGATGCCTAAACTGTTCATGCGTTATTAGGTGGTTATTAGAGCACGCTCAAAAGTCTAAAATGAAAAATTTGTCTATCTTCATTTTGAACGACTTTAGAATACATCTAAAAAACGGCACGAATTTTTGGACCCACCTAAGGCATAAGGCACCCCCATGTGATTTCAGTCCCTGCGCGATCTGGCACTGCAGCGACTCTTCATAACTGGTCGTAAGCGCGTTTTGCATGGGCCAGATTTGAAGCTTTTGCTACAACTTATAGCAGCTATGCGTCTGTGCCTTTTAGACTCGCGCACGGTTATTTTGTATACATCTGACAAACCGCGAAGTCGCGTGGGCACAGTGATTTGACGAAATTGCGCGAGGTATGCCTTAGGCCTAATACATAGTAACGTTGAAGGGATGCCCTCTCGCGATTTTTCTATCCAGTGTTTGCAACGTGATTACGAAGTCACCTCCCTTATTGCTAATGAAAACACGAACAGAGCGGTCTGTCAGAAATTAGCTATTTCTTTACCAGTGTGATCGTCCGACTATGCCGGACTCTTATACTTTGTTGCAAAACCTACTAATACATTGATCTCTACAAACTTTCATTAGCAGTGGAAAAGGGTTTTTGTTAATAAAAATGCTTGGTAATTAGAACTATTTTTGTTGCGAAATGTGCTAATGATGAGCAAAAAAAGTTCTATATCTGTTTTTTTTCATTACCGCAATCCAAATTCTGTACATATACTCCACTTAGCGCTTCCTACGTGGCTCCACAACGTATTCTTCTCACAGTGCCACTTATGTTGTTCTCTTCTTTAGCAACATAGCACTGTTACCTAGACTTGATGCATTAGAACGCTAGCCCCACACAAATCAAAATAGGAGGCTACCTAGAAATGAAAAGCCTTTCCCCGAAAAAAAATTTGCTTTTCCCTCTGAGTTATCAACGCAATTGAGGGGACAACTATCGCTTTTCCCACAAACTACGGATGAATACATTTCAACAACTAATTCTATTCTTTTTAAAGAAAGTTCTACAAATAACTTTGACGAATATTCTTAGGAAAAGGTTGCAAAACTCGCGTTTTCTCAATGATAGCATCGGGAATGACATTCGCATAACATTTCGCTCAGTAGGCAGCACTGCTGCCTACCGCCTCTACAATGACTGAAATGTTCTTCCAATCCTTCAAAAACGGACTGACTTACAAATAGTCTCCACACATAAATGTGGGAAAAGCCTTGAAAACTTGCGCTTTTCCTCAACGCGACGGCATCTGCAAGAATAACAGTCATAAACCTTCCTCTCAGTCTGCAGCTGGAAACTGCTATCTATCGCCTTCTCGTTGCGTACTCTTTCAGAGAAGAAGACTCCAAATTTGCATACTTTTCTAAAGCACAGAATTTTATCTTCTTTGACATCGTTTTTTAATTTTCTTCAGCCTTTCCTGTACCATAATCCTTTGAATCATTTTTTGAAAAACAATTTCAACAAAATGGCCTTTTTGAGGTGTGTTGTTGTACGCCGAAGTACATGAGGGCCCGCCTTTTGAAAGATGTGCTAGGAGGGTGCCAAATAGATATCTAAAAAAGGATTTTGCTTTTGCCGCCTTTGAATTTTACGGTCTCCCACTTAGTCGTTGTAGCCGCGTGAGTCATTTAATTGAAGTGCGCTTTGCTCCATGAGGACACCGCCCTCGTTACTACTTTGTCTTTAACGATGAGAGGAAAAGATTTGAACTCAAAATCCTATATGATAAACTTTGAATGCAGAACAGATTAATGTAAAACTTTGAGTAGCTTATGAGAGCAACCTTTCGCCACCCTCACATTGGCATTAGGTGTGCATATGGTGCCAATATTTTTAAAAAAAAGTTGGGCACAATTTTTATTTGAGTAAATATTTCGCGATTTGTCATATTTTCAACTTCTTATTGCGAATATAACATCAGACTCGGAGCCAAATTGCTTTTTGCGTATTGCAAACGAGTCGTTTTGTTAAATCTTCAGCTTATATCAAGTCTTTAGTCACAAATATCTCACAATACTTTTCACTATGCCCTTCCTAATCTGCCCGTTCATACACTAAATTCAGAGTCATATCTTTACATGCGCGCTGCAAAAGGGGCAGTTAATTACTACTAAGCTAGAGAAATTTTTTGAGGGTGAAGCGCGAGCAAGACAGTTTTCTGCATGTCAGCCGTGTAGCAAAATGATAAGTATTACATAGTATGGATGTAATTAGATATCTTCTTTGTTGTATTACCAACTAGCTTACATAATTGGCTACGCCCCGGGTTACTTCTTCAGTTTCAGCAAATTTACCAATTTCAAAGCGCTCTACCTGCTATGATATCTACGCCCATAACAAAATGCTTTACTGGTTAACTACAGCAGTCTAAATTTGGAGTTCATTTGACATAATTTGTAAAGAAACCTAACTCAAATCTGTAGATAAAATCACACTGTAAAAGCCAGTGTGAATGGATTAAGGCACAGGTCATATTGCGATAGCATAACACTTTCATCTAACTTGCTACTTCGACATTTCTGTTTGGTCTTAAAATGGCGTGCTTATTTTATAACTTAACAGGTTCGCTCGCTCCCACAAACGTTCTCGTAAGCATAGTGGAATAGGAGTGACTAGCATATCACTATCCACAATCAGAACTTCCATTCTGCCTCCCTCTAATCGTTTGCTTTCTATCGGGTAGAGAACATCAGGACGCAAAGGATTTCCCAGGCGAAAATTTGCAACACACCGCGCGCCTTCAACGTCACTATTTCCACGTGGGTGGAAACTATTGGCGACCTAATGTCCTCTATCCCTTACTATCTATTCACTAATTGGACTGTGACAGAAGTGGATGTGGCCTAGATTATGTTTTCTTATATCAGCCTAGATTATGTTTTCTTATATCGTTATACAGTCCAAAGGTCCTTCCATATTTCCACGTTTTCGACAAAAAACGTAGCTTTCTCTAATCAAGTCATCAAATAAGTTTAACAGATGACAATGCTCTGGTTCTTTATAACAATGTCAGTCACAAACTCGCGACAGTATATCCAGTACCTTTGACATACATGCTGACATAGAATTGACACTTATGAGAATTGCCCATAATGTTGCTTTACGATCTTACACACCGCAGCATCGCATACTTCATTTTTGAGCATATAAAAAGATTTACTTGAGAAGCGCTTCTTGTCACTGCGCTTTGCTTGCAAAAACTCAGAATAGGATGTACCGTTCACCCTCTTTCAGACAAATGTCTAATAGACTTTTCTTTTCCCAGACGTAAGTAAACAAATCAATTATGATAAAAGGACCGAACAAAAAGTTGCAAAAAGTAGCCTATCTTTTGCGCCGCGTCTCATTTATAGGGGAACAAACAAAATCCATCCTCTTCGCTTCACATACAGTCAAGAAACAAACATCCTAAGAAACAATATACAGTTTGCCTCAGCCCCAACCAGGCCAAAAGTGGCATGGCGGGAGCCCGCGTCGCGAGGGTATTGCGTTACGTCTATGACTAGCTAGTCTGCTCTCTCCTCAATCTCTTTGCCCTCTGCGACAGCGCGCGTATGCAGCGCAAACCCTCAGCGCTGCGAGCGTCCAAATTTAGCCGACGGTTCGGCCGGATTCCGATTGGGACAAACCGTACGATTTTCATTTTGACATTTGCCACCCTATTGCCAGGCCCTGTGTTTGTTTAGAGCAATTTTATTGTGACTGTGTCATTACAAGCTTTTTTGCCCTGCACTGATACGCTCTGTAGTTGCACTAACTCATTCAAGTTTTGCGTTTTCTTTTTTTTCCTCCACGAGCGCTCTCAAAATTGGTTCGTACAAAACGCTTTTGAGCAACCGATAACAAAGCCTCAGTCCGCCTCGTTTTAGACTGCATATTACAAAAGATGCGCATTACTTGAGCAGGTTCAAAATTTGTCGGTTTATGACCAGCAACAATAGTTTATTTGAACGAATTAAATTTTGAGAAATTACCACCGATTCCTGATTATTGCACGTTAATAGTTGCAGGAATAGGAGTGCGCATTATATGAAAAAGGAATTGCAAACCGATGCGATAAATTACCATAATTGCTAGACGCAGTCGCTGTAAATTTAAAGAAATTCTTGTTTATAGTTTGATGGCTCAAAAACGGCAAGACATTCAAGGGATACGTGGCTGGGCGATTGCTTTGGTTGTCACATTTCACTTCTTTCCTGCTTATTGCCCGAATGGATATGTTGGAGTAGATATGTAAGCAATTTCTCTTTCTTAAGGCAGCGTCCAAAAAATGGATATTTTTCCGCTTTGGGCTTGTCTTTTTCCGCTGAATACGAAAATACAACTTGGAGAGCACGAAATACCAAAAACGGAGTATTTCAAAAACCTTTGATTTGAATTTGAGCGCCTGCCGCCAAGGAGACGCGAAGTCGTTTTGGGACCCGAAACGTTCCAGCCAAAACTTCTGAAACGGTTTTTCGCTTCAGAAGCACATTGGTGCAGTGCCACGTGCAAGAGCTTCATTAAGATTGGAGTCATTGTACTCGATTTTCATATTTGCCTGGACGCTGCCTATAAAAAATGACTACGCCCAAAAATGCATATGTTACTATATCTGTAAGCTTTTCCTTTGATCTGCAATCCAGGTTCTTCGTCGTATCTGGCTTTCTTATGGCTATGATCATAACAAGAACGGAGATGACAGCTTTGTTTTGTCAAAACTTCTATGACAGAAGGTTATCTTACATCTTAAAAGTTATTTTACTACTATACAGATAAGAGGCAAAGTTTAAGAATCAAGCGAATATTACCGCTGTATTATATGACGTCCGCGGCATTATTATTGTTTGTAGCATCAAGGCTACCTTCCTTCCGGCTGATGAATTTCCCTAGTTCACGCAAAGCTATATTCCTCATTACAAACATCAGGCTGTCTGAAAAGGATCCTGTCATCGAATACGAAAAAATGGTGATGTCTTCGAATTTCCTACTCTCACATCTAGGCATGAACAGCTTCAGCTGTCAAATGCGGACGATCTCTTCACTCATACTTGGTCTTTATGTGTCGAGATGCAATGGTATTTGTTGGCTCCACTTCTCTTCTTCGTGCAAAATTTGTTACCTTTACGGAGGGTGCTTTTCTTTTTGGGTTAGTCGTGTTGCGCTGAAATATGTCTGAGTGTAATTTGGTATTTAAGGGATCACATGTATTTCTCTCGGTTTCTATCTCACTACTGACAGCAACACTGCCTTCTACAACACATTTGCTAGGATGTGGCAATTTTGTGTTGGCATTATCGCCTTTTTGAGTAGTGAAAATGTGAGCTTTTTTACAATATGCAGCTGTTATCATCAAACTTGTATTGTATCGCTCACAGCATCCTTAGCCTTTTTCTTTTTTGCCCTAACATAAGGTGGAAATTGGACAAGTTCGTACCCGATCGCGTTTACGGTCGGAACGTTTATACTCTTGAGTCGATTATAAATTCCTGGTTCAATTTACTGCAAAATTGCCCTCAAGGTTTCGCAACCTTTGTGCCCAGAGGATGTCGATCATGCAGGATCGACTTTCGAGGTCATCTTCAAGATCCTAACAAGTAAGATTGAACACCTGACTTCAAGGTCTTTGAAACTACTGTAGCCATTTAAACTGGTTCTGATTCAGAGCCCGGCACGAATTGGCAAATGGGCATCGCTAAAACAGCTTTGCCACTATCGATTTTTACGATTTCCTACTTGATCCCGCCAGCTGCGTAGGTTGCCCGATTTTAGCGCGCTTTCTCCTTCCAAGGAACCGGCATCGTAGATATTCCGGATTCTTGCAAGGAGGAGAGGAGGAGCCTTGGAACCGTTACTATATACTATTAGGTGTAGAACACATTCATGTAAAAATTCCAAAAAACTTATTTGAAACGGGAATTTTGCCTACTTCAGGTGGGCATTGGGCGGACAATGGCCCACCTAATTTGCAAAAAAAAGTTTTTGTTAACGATAAATTTGCAGAAAAAACCTTGCCTCAATCTTCAGTCACATACTATCTCAATGAAACGTCACGGTTCCCCCTGCAGGCCCGTGTTCATGTGCATACCAAGATGCCATATCGTCATTTGCGCTTTGCAAACAAGCCATTTGAATTTTCATCTTCATTCACAGTGATGCAAAATTTTTGGAAAAAAATGTTTATTACACCTTTTATTCGAATGAGTTTTCCATATTTTATACAACTTGTTTTCACTAGTCTCTTTTCGTACGCATACATTGAAAACTAAAAAGTCTTTGGTACAAATAGCATCGTTTAAGCGACGTCGCGCGTGCGACAATTAGCGACAGCGCCGTTTGACGCGCGCAAACTCCACTACTCGCCTGTAGAGTCACATAACATGTTCAGATAAGCAGAGAGCATGAGCTATCAATTTTTTCCGGGGCTTTAACCCGAATTTCGCAAAAACGATATCTTTTCTGCTTTTTCACCCAACAATTTCCAGCCTGTCATTTGACCACCTCATGTTGGGTCCTGATCTGACTGCGTACTTAAAACCCGCTTAACCGAGAGCACCAGCCTAAATCTAAGTAGCTATATCAATTAACATGACTTGAGTCACTTTTAGAAGGTTGTTTAGAACTGAGGTAAGCGGCTATCTTGCATAATCAAGTTTTTCTTAGAGGTTTTGCTTTGGACTACAGCAGGGATAATCTTAAACGAATTGTATTGGCTAACGTTAATAAGTATGCACTTTCCCGGTAATATCCCGTCTTACTGATCCTTCGCGACCATTCAGACAGTTATAGACGGGCTGGCTTAGCGTAGATATGCGGTGTAAAATCTACCAATAAAATCCAAAGAACTTCTCCAAACATGTACTGCTGCCCCCTACTCACCCCGAAAATGGGTCGCGAAATTTTTGAAAGTCACTTATATGAGTTACAAAACTGTGCAAGCCATTTGTTTTTCTTGTAAATAATTAAAATAACTTTTCAAACATTTTAAAAATCCAATTTAGCGTCAAAAAAATTTTTTTACGGGCGTTTTCGGGGTTACGGCCCCCAAAATTTTGAAAAGCATACCAGAAATTTTCGGAGTGCATTTTTATCGCCTCCTACCCTTGAACGGAAATCTGGGTACGCCACTGCTTTAGCCCTGATCATTCTAAAAACATGTCTAATTTTTTAGGATTTTCTCAAAGGCGAATTTGATTTTAGATGATTCAAAACCCACTCAAAACTTCCTGTTATGGTCTGACGACGGGGATTTTGAGCAAGGGGAACATGTGTCTCAAAGCTCTCGGAACTACCGTCTACTTACCGTTAGGTATAACATGAGTCCTTACTAATTACAATGTCTAATCTTATATATAAAGCTGAATGTCCGTTTGTCTATATGTCTGTCTGTCTGTCTGTCTGTCTGTACGTATGTTCCGAATAGAAAATTCCATTTCTGAACCGATCCGCACCAAACTTGGCACACATACACTTCGGGCCCCGGCGGGTGTCATAGGCTACTTTTCGTTATCGATCAATATCGATTTTATCAATTTTCTGCAAAATTTGAGCTAGGGGCTGGGAGTTGGCACAGGGGGTAATCGAGCATGCTGATTACGAATATAATAATGACAGGGCAGGGCGGAGCCGGGTTTGCCAGCTAGTATGTTCATAATCAACGTAATTTTTGTAAACCGTCTTTTAGCGAATTCTGAGGTTTTCAAATATTGGGCAACTCAAGTGAAATGGTCATACTCAAAAAAATTAACTTCGTTATGAAGGTGACGCGCGGCCAACGTTTCTATTCATATCTCTCTTCCCACCCAATACAATGCATTACTCAGCCTTTGCTCATGTGAGACTTGCTTCAAATAACCGCCAGACTGTGTGATTGAGAATTGTACAAGACCTCGATCTCTCATTTTTTGCTTGCCATGATTTGCTCTCAGCAACAGTAACTCATGTGTAAAAAGGCGATTCTAAATAAAGTTATTGCTATGAAAACTATGGAGTTTGATATATCGTATGCTGCTTATGTAATTCGAATTTTTCTCAAAAAAAGTTAGGCGGTGTACCACAACTCAGAAAACGTGGCGGTTAGGCCTTTATAAAGGCAGCGTTCAGGCAGAAGCCTCAAAGACATTGTCTCATCGAAATTGGGGTAGTGCGGGTTTCCACATGTCATGTTAGAGGACATTCTGAACAGGCAATTACTCCAGGTCCGACTCGACTCTACGCCAAAAAATTTGCCCTCAAGGTGCGCCGCAAAGCGAGATTTTCCCGGTTTTCTCCTTACGCGTTTCAACATGTCGTTCCGCATGGCGTCCACCTCCATGGTGTTGATGCCGTTGTGACGAAGGCTGAGCTGAAAAGGCAATCTGTCCGTGTTGCTTTGACGGGCTTTTAAAAGCAGGGTTTGTGCATTCTAGACAGGGACGAAAAGGCTTGCAATACGCAAGGATCTTGACAACCAAATTCTGGTGAAACACTGCCTTCAAAAACCACGCTCACTTCCTCGCACAACACCTTGAACAAAATCTTCTCAGCCCTTGACGTGTTTTCACGTGGCAAACACTGTCGAACACATAGCGTTTACCTGTTAATGCTTGCTTTTGACAAAAACAGCATCAAAGAATTTGTCCGGGCTGACCGAAAATAGCCCTAACAAGGTGGTTTTGAAAAGAAACTCACGCTTTTCGAGTGCCATGTTTGGAATCAGTGCCATGAAAAGGTCTAAAAGGATAACACAAATATGGGAGTCAAGAATCTGTCCCGACGCTGCCTTTAGGGGTTGTGCCCCACTCCATTAACTTACCTTCACAACATACACATCTAGGTTTTCTAAAACCTTGAGACCATTAAATTCCTTCTCTTCACAGTAGCAGTAGACCATCTCATCCGCAATCGCTGCTTTTATATGGCAAATATTGGTTTACGATACAGTGCTAAATCTGTTCCTACTACGTATACTGCGAGGGAAAGTGGCAAAAATATGTATATATTCGATAGTTCAGACCTCTTAGTTTTCTGTAGTTTGTGTCTAACTTGTCTTCTTTAGTGTGCTTTGTACACAGCCCATGAACAGGTAGCTAACTCACTTCAAAAAACAAAGCTTATTGTGTTCAAATGGCCATATCACTCGGAAGGAAACTTAGAATCCTCAATCGCTAAGACTTGATCCAAAAGGGTTATTTGACATGTCAATTACAATAAAATAAAAGAAAAAAGGTTTTTTGGAATACTCCGTTTCGTTCCTTCCCTTAGACGGAGTAAAG